GCTACTCGGTTTGTTTCAGATCTTTTTTGTTGGTGCACATTGGTTGTACCGATTATGGGGCTCATTTTGGCAGGTTCATTCGTGCCCACAGCACACTTCGCTCGTTTTCACCCGCCCGGCACCCCCACCCTCCCCCGCTTTCACACCTGCGGCGTCCAGTGCATGTCTCTGATTGGAGATGCCCCTGTCACACGCCCCCTCCCTGCCCTCACCCTTTCTTGCCTAACGATGGTGTCCCTTCTACGTTCTGGTCATCCTTTTTAGATTCCACATGTAGGAAAACAAATAATCCTGGTCTTTCTGAATCTGGCTTATTTCACTCAGCATGATTTCAACATCCATCTGTTTTCCTACAAATGACAAAGTTCCATTTCTATGGCTGGATAATGTTCCATTGTATTTATATACCACATTGTAATCAGCTACTTTTAATAGACTGTCAGCTTCCAGGGCTAAATCCCAAGAAACTGTTCACAAGTTTAAAAGATCAGCAAAGTGTGGTGGTGTATGACTATAATTCCAGCACTTGGGAGGCTGGGGCAGGAGGATTACGTGAGTTTGAGGGCAGCCTGGGCTGTGTAGTGAGTTGGTCTGAACTATATGGCGAGACTTTTGTCTCAATTAAAAAAAAAAAAAAATTGAGAAGTAGACCCAGTTTGTAGAGGAGTAGAGTTGCTGAAAGACTAAAGAAGAAATTTCATAGTTCATTTTTCAATATCAATTTGTTTGAACCATCAACTTTCATTTCATAAAACACAAAATAGGCTGATGTAGTCAGATATGAGGCGTATTCCCACTTTTACAAGTAGGTTTTATTAATAACTGGTACATAACAGTCTGTACAAATTCATACTTTTGGGAGGTGATAATAGGGACTGAACCTAGGTCTTTATACTGAGCCACATCCCGTGCCCATTTTTACTTTGAGACAGGGTCTCACTAAGCTGCGCAGGCTGAGATCCAAGTCATGATCTTCCTGTCTCAGCCTCCCAGAGTGCTGGGAGTGACGCACAAGTTGGAGACACTGCAAAACTCAGTCACAGGCAGAGTGTTCCTCATCAGCAATGCTTGAGCAGAGGAAGTGTCTCTGGTTCCAAGGTTATGGACTTGGAATATTCACACAGGCTTTACTGGCCGAGCGTCCCTAGTTCAAAAATCTCAGATCCAAGATGAAACTCTGAGCGTCATGACAGCACCCAGTAAGTTTCAGAACACTCTGAGTAACGAGTACTTGATCCATATAAGGAGGTAGAGTGGACCTTAATTTGCTAACTCAGTTCATTCACAGGGCTGATTGTAACACAAGTCGGTTTAAGTCAAGACTTTTTCTCATAAATAATTGAAATGCCCATAATGTGTTCCAAAGCACCCTTTAACCTTTTCAGAATAAAAAAGGGTTGTACAGTGTGCATAATTTGCCAGAAACACCAATGGTTTTCCTAGTGCATTCACGAAAAAGTTACACAGTGTGCCTAGGTGACCAGAACCAGCCATTCCATACTGCACTCACCATTCCAGCCGACATCTGTGGCCCGCAGGAAGGGCGGGTGAAAGGGAAATGGGCCGTTATAGGAGGAGAGCCCCCGTCCGTATACCATCAGGAACCTGGTCGCGGCGCCCTTTCTGTCCTTGGAGGGCCTGTAGCCCTCTAGGACCTGCTTCTGGCTCACCAGGTCTCGGCCTTCTCAGAACTGAAAACTCGCCTAAGGCTGTCTGTTTCTCTTTCTCTGACTGTGCTGTCCTATGACATGACATCATTAAGCGAGTGAATGCAAAGATCGGCGTTTTCTCTGGCTGTGGGTCTCTCTGCAGGTGTTTGTAGCTCTGTCCAGTTTTTCAGGGCTTCCTTTATTTCAGAGAACTTTGCTGCGCTGATTGCTGATACTCGCCCTCCTCTTCAGAGAGCTCCTCAGCTGCCGTTCTCTGAGCTCAGCCAGAAGTTGAAGTTCCTCTGTAGACAGTTCCTCTGAGTGTTCCTCCTCCAGTTCCTCAGCGTCTGTACTGTCCACCTGCAAGTCTCCAGCCTCTGCTTAGTGACTGTGTCATCAACCACAGGGTCAACTGAAGGCTCAGCTCTAGCTAGCTTCCTTTTTTTTTTTCTGAGACAGGGTCTTTATGCAATTCAGCCTGTCTCTCGAACTCGCAGCGATCCTCCTGCCTCAGCCTCCTGAGCACTGGGATTACAGGCGTGCACCACCACACCCAGCAAGCTTCCTTATACAGATCTTTTCCTTATACTCTGGCTAGCTTCCTTTTACAGATCCTTTCTCTGTGAGATTATTGAGATAGTGGATTTTGACATCTACGCATATTAGCAAAATCAGTCACACAAATGCCAGTCTCATACTTCTCCGTTTCCTTCTTCTTAATTGTGACTGTTTTCTTTCCTTTCCCTTCCTTCCTTAGCTTCTTTTCTAGCTTTTCTGGGAATTTTGATAGCAGCAAGCATGGTGATTATATAAAGCACTGACCAAAGTCACACCCACAAGCACACACATCTGGGCTCAGATTGGCACTTACATACACATTTCTGGCATCGAGAATCTTTGTGCACAGCTGCACAAGCACCTGGCATTAAGTAACTCCACATCCTGATCGTAAGTTAAAACTAAGATTCCAGTCATAGCTAAGTTGTTTGTACGTGAGGTCTGCGGTAACTTGAGGGCCTACAGGTAGAAGGACACAGAAGACAATGTGTCAAATCATGTGGCTCCCCATGCTGGCCACCAGGTGGCACAGTTGTTCCTCACCAGCTGGTTACAGCGGCTAGGGCAGAAGGTTGGGGGAGGACAGAGGGACCGCCAGGGCGGCAGCTGCTCCAGAGGACAGGTTGTTCACCTTGGCTCTCGGGACCTGGAGACAGCTGCTTGGCAGAGTAGGAAAAGACCAGTGGTTTATCCTTGCTTATTTGAGTTTCTGGTTCTTCGGGGCCTGGTTTTATGCAGTTAAATAAACCACGTTGGTAGTCCTTTTGTCATTTTTGTTACTCAACTCTTTCTCTGTATATGTGTGAAGAAACTGATAACACTGGGAAATTGAACACAAAGCAGTGTAGCGTCATAGCATATGAAGACATGCTTTGGATTATTTTAGTGGATGAGGCTACTGATTGCGGGGAGCAGTGCTGGCGATTGAACTCAGGTCTCACATACACACTAGGCAAGTTCCAAAGTGTGTGCTTTTTTTGTTTGTTGGTTTTGGTTTTGGTTTTTTCCAGTACTGGGAATCAAACTCACAACCTTGTGCTTGCCAGGCAGGTGCTATGCCGCTGAGCTAAGTACCCAGCCCCCAAAGTGTGTGCTTTTAACAGTCGTCATGAGCTACTGAATTACTTTTGCTCGTCTTCTGTATGACCAAAAGGAAAAACAAGCCAGGTGTGGTGCACGCACTCGGGAAGCAGCACTCGGGAAGCTGAGACAGAAGGATCGTTGCGAATTCGAGACCAGCCTGGGCTACAAAGCAAGCTCAAGGCCAGCCTGAACTGCACAGCGAGACCCTGTCTCAAAAATACAA